GCTCTGCCTCCAGCCACCCCAGTGAGCCACCCTCAACCTTAGGTCTTCAACCCTCGGCCCAAACCCAAGCCCCCAAACATGCCTTAGGCCGGCCATGCACTTAGAACCACCAGCCCTAAATGGTAGTTTCCCTAAATAGGGGGTCCCCTTAAGTAGATAGAATATGGCTTTGGATATATTATGATAAGATCCCCATACATCCCATATTCTATCTACTTAAGGGGGGACTGTAAATATCCGAAGGCACAGCTCCTGGAGTGCCAAGAACACTGCACGCGCCTGGCTTGCGATCGCCAGCACGAGGAGCAGCGTCAATTTCTGTGCGCCTCCTGGGCTTAGGTTTTAGGGTTTTGGGTTTAGGGCTTAGGTTTTAGGGTTTAGAGTTTTGGGTTCAGGTGTTAAGGGCCGTTTATGTGGCTCACGTAAACCCTAGCATGTATGGCTCACGTAAACCCTAGGATGTATTGTACCTTCTTAGGGGGAACCCAGGTGAAGATTCCTTACCCTTACCCTTGCCAAGCCGAAAAAAAGATAACATCCAAGGGTTCCTGGGAGATTTGGGTTTAGGGTTTAGGGTTTAGGGGATCAGGGATCAGGTCTGGTGACTAGGGTGCAGGCAATAAATTGTATCGGTTTGGGGTTAGCACTGGGGTAGGTTAGGTCTGAAAGTCTATGTTCAGGATATAGAGACTGGTCTCAGGCGTCTATTTGCCTTTGGCTGGGCTAGACACCCAATCTTTCTGTGGAAGTTTTTGGTGGCAACATAGAAATTCCATTGTTCAAGAGCTTCTTTTCACCTAAACCCTGAACGGTAAACCTAGTTTCTCTAGATTCTTGACATCCACACAGGAGACAATACTTCAAGCATAGCTGAAGACTCTTTGCTAACGGACCTTGTGAGAGCTATGTCATCCCTACGGGGCCAAGTACCCAATAGTTTTGGGTTTAGGGATCATATGCTTACCCAAACCTGTACTACAACTACAACTACCAAATCCCCAGGGTTTTAAATCATTAGGTACATGGACCGACCCTTAAGGTCCTAAACTCGAAGCCCCATATGAGTAGTATTTTATTTGGGGGGTACTATGGTACTCACTATAGAGTAAGACTATATCCTCCTTTTGGGGTAAAGTATTTTATATAAGGAATATAATCTTACTAGCTGTTACTAGCTTCAACCACCAAAAAAACGCTACTCGAATATACCTGTAATGGGTTCCAATTATTGGGGACATTGGCCCTTAGGGATGAGGTCGGGTATCTCTGCCACGTCTTGGGCTTAGCAAATTCCCTACTCAACATCCCTAAACCAAAATCACAAAAAGCTTAACTGCAATGACTAGGAGAATGTTTCGGCCTGGCTGAAAGATTCGTGGCGGAGGCTCCAGGGGCTGGATTGGGTCTCTGGGTTTAAGGTTTAGGGCCTAAACCCGAAATCCTGAACCCTTGATAGGGTTTAGGGTGATTGGGGTTCTTAGTTTGGCAGCCTTTTGCAGCGCAGCAAAGACATTTTTAAAGACACCTTCATTTTCCGCGCTCGTGCTGCGCCAACGCCTTGCATCTTGAGCGTCTCATCAGACACAGCAAAGTAGGGCTGCAAAAAAAAGTTTGGCGGCCTGGGCTTAGTGGACTAAGGGGCTGGGTTCTATGGCTAAGGGGTAGAGGGCGTGCGAGATTTGGGTTCAATGTATGTCCGAGATTCACGCCTTGGCGCGGGGATTCTAGACAAGCCTTGTTGCGTGATACTTGCGAAAGCCTCACACAATGAGGCTCTGTTCTCTTAAGCCATGAATTGAATCCTTTGCTGTATGTGACCCCTGGACTTATAGAGTTCAAATATATTCCTTAAGAAGTGATGTACTTGTCGATGCAGTAGAGCTTAGATGTCGCCCTCGTAGCGTGTCTCAAGCACGCTTATTCCTTAAGAAGTCCCCATAAACCGCCTTGATATCCCCCTGTAGGATCCCTCCCAAACTGACTTTAGTCCGCGGCTCATCTAGGTGGGCAGACAAAGTTCAACATGTGTTTGTTGCGGTTCAGGTGTGCACGTCAAGCTCATAGAATGCTACCGCTTGCATGTATTAGGGCACTAAGGCCATTTGGGTACCCCAACCCCCAAACCCAAAACATCATGACCATTTGTTTTGACTCTTTCAGGGTCTTTGTTAGAGGTGGTATAGACGTAGCCTAAGCATTATTAAGCCTAAACCCCAACCTTCCCTTCATAGACCCTACCCTCGGTCTCCCCAACCTGTTCCGTCAACATCCTGACCCATGATATGCGAACCCTACACTAGAAGACATCAAGTTGGAAAATCAGTATCCCTTTATCTGAAGACCCAGATCATGATCTTCCTGTTTCCTTGTTCGAGTTTTTGTCAATTTTAAGTCTCTACGGCTTCCCGGTTTCCGTTTTCTTTTCTCATTCTCCAGGATAGGGCTAATATCCCCAACTCCAAAACCCTACATACACCCTTGTATAACATAATCCTTTACAACACCTACACCCTCCCCCATAAACCCATAAAACTCCTCAAGGCCTCGACTGACCAACCCTCATTGAGTTGGAGCCCAGAAAAGCCAGGTGAGTAGTATTTTATTTGGGGATATTATGGTACTCATTATAGAGTAAGATTATATCCTCCTTTGGGGGTATAGTATTTTATATAAGGAATATAACCCCAATATAAGCCTAAACCCCAATAACCCCATTATAGTAGTTTCCATGTTCTTTTCCATTAACCCTAATATAACCCTAAGGAATATAATCTTACCGGGTTCAACCCTAAAACCCTAAACCCTAAACCCTATACCCTAAAAAACGATTACCTAGGTGCGAGTTGGAGCCGGCCTTAGATCAGGCTCCGAGGGGGAGGAATTTCGTAAAGTGTGGAGGTGAAAAATCGTGGTCCCTTTTTGGGTACCCAAAATTTTAGGTGCCGTACTATAATAGGGACCCAAAAAGGCACCATAATTTTGACAACCACCCATATATTACACATGTATATGCTGGATATGTATCTCTCTATATATATATATATACACACATACGGATTTATGCCATAGGGATATAGAGGGTTACTGGGTGATAGTTCTGCGGACAGCAATTGGAAAAGCACATGGAAACTGATTTGGAAACTGGGTTTATATGGGCTTCATAGGGACTGTACCCTTAGCCCTAAACCCTAAAAAAAGGTGATTTAGACGGTTTAGGGTTTCCAGAAACTGGGCGTCCCGCCTTGGGGGTACCACTACTATTTTGGGGTAACATTGGGGGCGCAGCAGTTTCGGAAACTTGTCCAAACAATAGTTTCTTTCAGGTACCCAAAACCCTAGAACCTAACCTACCCTACTGTTATAAGTTATAAGGGTTGAAGGCCCGGGGATCCACCGTTTTGGTTCGGTGTATTTTGTAGGATTAGGTTAGCGGGCTTTCATGCAGCAGCCTTGTGTTGCTTAGAGCCAAGGGGTCCGTATGAGCTATAGTCTGAACTCCCTAAAGGTAAGGGGGATACTAGCAGTTCAGATTATAGCTCATATGGGGCCCCTAAACTCCCCTGAGCCCTAAACCCTGGACCCCACCCTAAACCTTAAGACTGGCCCTAGGCTCTAGCTGTGTGGCTAAAGTTGAGGGCCCAGATGTACACCCTGAAGAATCTAACCCCAAGGGTCCAAGTACCCAATAATCAGATACTTACCCAACACGTGTACTACAATTAGTATTACCCAATACCCAAGTACGTAATTATTGGGTACTTCGACCCTTCGGGTAAGGCATATAGCCTCAAGAAGACCTCATACCAGGAACCCGCTTGATTGAAATCTGGCAGCCATGCAACCACCAGTTTGCGTTTCGGGCTTAGGGTTTAGGCTTTAGGCTTTCTCCATCAGCAATTCTTTGCCGGCAGACTGTGTTCTTGTAGTTGTCACCAAAAAATGTTCCCAGGAAGTGTGTGGGGGGGGGGGTGCATCTCGTAGCCCAAAAGTGCGCAGAGATGTGTAGGCCTCTGGATTCCCTCAAACCTCACCCGCCTAATTCCCTTAGCTCTGAGCCCCTGAGGTGCTATGTAAAGCAAGGAGCTTGGTATTAGGGTTTAGGGTTTAGGGCTTAGGGTTTAAGAGAATCAGTTGGAAAACGAAATGGAATTTGGGATTAAATCAAATGGAAAAGAACATTGAAAATGAAATGGAAGCTGGGATCAAGTCAAATGGAAAAGAAAATGGAACATTGAATGGAAACTGGGATCGGAAAATTAAATGGAAACTGGGATTAAATCAAATGGAAAAGAAAATGGAAGATGACATCGAAACTGGGATTATAGGGATCATAGGGAGCGGGTATATTGTAGGACCCTCGAATTATGGCAAGTACGATGGAAGCATCACGAATTCCCTGGCCCCTGACATGACATACCTAAAAGCTTTTGATGTTACGCATGCCACACAACATAACTACATTGGGGAGTTGGAGGGGCTGCTTGAAAGAAAGCCTCACGCTCTAAACCCCAAACCCACCGTTGAAATCCTGCGCAGCCTCCAGTCATCCTTATCAGGACGGATTGCTTGAACACCTCATCTTCTTGCAAGCAAGCCATCCTCTACTCAGGGATGGCATTACGTGTCACCCCAACCACCTACGAGACTGTACAAGCGGTTTAGGGTTCAGGGTCTAGGATTTAGGGTTTAGGATTTAGGGTTTAGGGTTAAGGGTTATGGGCTACACTTACTAATTGGGGGTAGCTACTACTTAACTGTAGGTAACTGGGGTGACAGGTAATACTTGGACAGGTCAAGGCCCTCCGGAAAGTGATGGATGACGACCAGCTCCATGCGGAAGAGCTTCAAATGCAGAACCATGACTTTCGGCAACAATATAGGGGATTGTCAATTGCATGTTTTTTTTTGGGTGGCGCCGTGGCGCCCTTGGTATGGTACTATATGAGGGGTGTAACAAATGGACCATACAACCTACCAGATGAAATTTCAGTAGGTTGGTGACGATTCAGGGTTACAGGTTTGGTTTAGCTCGGAGATGAAACTCTGTATATATCGGGGTAATATTCAGGTTACATACGGAATATATCGGGACTATGGGAAATAAAATGGAAACTACTATTTAGGGTATAGGGTGTAGGGTTTAATTAGAGTTGAAAGTCAGGCTATGCACCGCAAAGCAGGCGAAGAATCCCGGAGTGCATCCCATGACCGCTGTAGCAACACGGTGTACATAAATCACTGTCGACTACGCGTTTAAAAAGGAAAAGCGAAGAGAACACCCTAAATCAGAAACCTTAGGCACTAAATCCTAAAGTCCTACCCCTAGGGATCTAAGTATACAAAAAATACCCACATTGGGCCCTAAAGTGTATAGATATTACCCACATTGGGCTATTTGGATCCCTAGAGTACACGCCAAAGGCTGGAAATCCGAAAGTCCTTCAGCTTGGAGGTTAGCAGTTCAAGGTTTTTGTGGCAGTGTAGGTTTTTAGGGTTTAAGGTTCAGGGTTTAGGGGTCTAGGCTTTAGGGTTTAGGGTTTTGAGTCTAGGGTTTAGGGGTCTAGGGTCTAGGGTTAGGGTGAGCATCTCCTGCTGCAGATACCCACACCAAGCAACAACTGTAGTCTCCTTAGGAATTGTTTTTGTTTTGATTTTGGTATAAGCCACAAGGAAGTATCAACATGTTATTTGTATCATAGGTCTAAGGAGACTACAGATGAATGTGACGCAGATGCCACAATTCCATCCTTGACGCCCGAGCGCCTGAACTCTCCGTAAACAAATCGAAATGTTCATTCCGTTTCCCATGTTCTTTCCCATTTGATTCTCCAGCCCCAATATGTTCCTATAGATGACCCTATGTAACGCATATATATATATATACATATCTACAATGCCACCCTAAACCGTGTGCAAGGCCCTCGTTTTGGAGACAGCTGAGCAAAGGGCTGCGCTGTTCCTCGTCCCATCAGGTGGTTTATCATGACATAGCTCCCCTCGCCGTCGTGAAGATCACCACCATTTGAGACCCCGCGGTTCTGGGTTTAGGGTTCCCCAATAGTGGCTCATTATAGAGGCCAAAGAAACATGTGTGATTCATCTACTGTTCTCGCTATCAGGAATGCGATAGTGTTGGGCGAGAGCGATTCCCAGTATGGCTAACGCCCATTCCGCTATCTTAAGTCCTGGCTGTTTCGCCACCACGCTCTCCGTTACCTTGCGTTTGTTCGTGCACTCGCATTTGCTACATGCACGAGTCCAGCCTGAAGCTTAGATACCCTCTAGGCCCAGCTCTACTTCTGAAATTGAGGAACGGCGCGAGACCCAACGCAAGCCGACAATGAAATACTTCGGGTTGAGTCGAAGGGGGCAAAGGGTTGAGCAGGAGAAGAGGTGTGGTGGTGGAGGCTAAGCAGGAAACAAGCTTCATTGCTATTATAATTGCTACTATTACTATCATTGTTACTATTAGTATTATCGTTTTCTACTACTATTATTGTTATTATTACTATTACTGCTAAAGTGCTTTTGCAATGCAAGGAAGCAGAACTGCCACCCGGTCTGTAAGAGGCCCTCATTCGTTGCACGTAACTTCTTGAGCCTTTGCACCGTGGCCCTTTACTTCTACCCCTGAACCCCAAAGGCCTGGTCTCAAACTCCAGAGCCCTAAGGGTCCAAGGACCCAAATAACAAGGCTTTAGGGCCCGAAATGGTATCTGGGACCCAATGCCCTATTCTTTGGCTCTTTGGACCCTTAGGGGAGGTCTTGCTTAGAAGCTGCTGTGCGATCTCCTTCTCTTGTGACTCATTGCGCACATTCTTCGAACCAAAGCACGAGTGCAGTTGAAGTTTGACGCACGCCCTCCAATCACTATCACCATCCGTGGGATGAGCCACACGACACAAATCAATCAAGATGGGTAGTTTTCAATATGACACCGCAAGAAGGCCGTATAAGAATCCCCATGATCCCTCTATACTCCCCCTCTATCCCTGGGCCACAGGGCCCCCCCATGCTGAGAAACTTCCCAGTCTCTATCTTAATGGAAAGAAGCCCAAGTCGCCACGTGGTAAAAGTGCGGTTATGGTTTAGGGTTTATGATTTAGGGGTGATTGTATAACCAGAAATGGGTACTGCCCCCACCCAGTGACAGTCTATAATTGAATAGGGGTCATGTTAAGAGTTTATGTATTCATATTCTACTTATTAGCCAGCAGTACCCGATCTACTATAATGATGCTGTTTGAGGTTCAGGGCGTGAGATTTAGGGGAGTTGGCTTACGCATAGTACCTACAACGATGGAGAATCAAATGGTAAACAAAATGGAGACTCAGTTAACTGCAGCCCCCAAACCCTAAACCCTAAGCCCTGAGGTCTTTCAGTACAACGGAGGTGGCCTTCGCGCGCGCGGAGGCAACGTCGGAGCTACCTGCACCTTCACGTGTAAGGATTTCGGGCTTCGAATGTGGGATTTAGAAGTTGAGGTTAGGGTTTAGATTTTGAAGGTTATTTTTTTGTTTTGAATAGAGTTTGGAAATTTGTGTGTTTCATTTTTTTTCGAGTGTAGGATTTTGATAGTGCAATTTCAGGTTTAAGGCTCAGAGTGCAGAGCTTAAGGTGAAAAAACAGTACTTCTTAACACAGGGTGCGATAGATCAATCAGGGGATCGCCGTAGGTCAATAAACTTCTTGCAGCTTGGATGTAGACTTTCATCATTTCACTTTTCGCTTTCCTTCCCTATTTAGGTTCTCCATGATTATACGCAGATACGCAGAGGTTGGGGCTACCACACTCCCATTCCTACCCCCATTGACCGTACCACCTCAGTTTTTGTTTTGTTTTCCAGGCTCCTTCCCATTTGATTGTCCATTACATACTCTGAACCCACATATGGGTAGTTCCCAAAATCAGGGGTACCTTTTTTGGGGGGTCCCCATAAGAAGGACTATAGTATATGGGGGTCCGCTTATTTTGGGAAACTACCTTATAATCCCTACATAAACCCTATATAACCATGCCTCACAATTATTGACTACGGCCAAGAGGTTGCTCAGTTTGGGAGGTGTTGGTTTCTGGCATCCAATAAGTACCAATGTTGGGGTTGTATTAGGGTTATATTAGGGTTATATTGGGGTAGTACTGGGGTTATATTTGGGCTATATTGGGGTTGTATTGGGGTAATATTGGGGTTATATTTGGGTTATATTGGGGTAATATTCGGGTTATATTGGGGGTAATAGACGTAGAAGTAAGGGTCTAGGGTTGTTACTTGTTGCTGGGTTGGGGGGTGCATCATTAAAGCCTAAACCCCTAACACTGTGTTTTCGACATTCCCACGTTCCCACTTTTCAGGAGCCGCCTTAGCAGGATCAGAGATTAGATGCCCCTAAAGATGCAAGACAATCCGTAGCACCTCTTTTACGGAGCTCCTTTTTCCAGGGCATGTTTCCTGTGCAGAGTGCTTATGTGAGAGAAGGCTTTCTAGGCCCAAGTACCCACTATGTAGCCACTTGGAACCTGGCAGACATAAGGAATATTGGCCTCCAAGCCACAACAAGAAGGATATGCAATCAGCAAAACACACTCAGACATCATCTAGAGTCAAAAGCCCAGAAGTAACCAGCAGGTCACGGCATGGAAAAGAGAGACTGACGAGTTGGCGTCGAGGCTTCAAAAGCAGGAGACGAAATTCGAGCTTTAGAAGACAATCGGGGGAGGGATATACAGAGGGGTAGATTTATCGGGTTTGGGATCTAGACAGGTATCATTCGAGAAATATGGCCTGAGGAAATGAGTCTTTGAAGATGTTCGGGCTCCTGCACTTACACATTACGGATCTATCTGGTTGATTGACATGGCTACTGCCTGATGCTTTCACGTAAACTCTGAACCACCCTGTCAATACGAAGCGATTATAAGGGGATTGTAGCGATTGTGGACCTAAACCCTAACCCTAGACCCTAAGCCTTATAAGCCCTAAACCCTAGACCCTACACTCTAAGCGCTTAACCCTAAATCCTAATTCTGCAAAGGTAAGCAGTCATCCTTTCGGAGACTACGCTACTTACCTGGTGAACACTTGACCCACGGGACTGATCGTAAGGTATGATGATGTTAAGAAGATAGGCAAGATTAGTTATTGTTATAGCGTACTAAATACAAAGAGAACAATTAGTAACATCCCTATACCCTAAATCCTAAACCCTGAACCCTAAACCACAGAAACTAGAACAAGGTGTGCAGACTCTGCAGCTCCAGCCTGAACATCCGAGCTTGCCTTCAGGGATTCCTTTAAAAGTTGTTTAGCGATTTTTGGGTGGATTTATACTTGGAGGGTCCTGGGGACAGGTCAATAATGGGATTAATTGGGGTTCTTATTTGGGTTATACCTTAGGAGGACCCCCCCACCCTGTAATAGTGTGATAATAGGAATATAAGAGGACCCTAATATAATCCCTATCATCCCCTATAGTCACTATTACTGGGTGGGGGGTATCCACCTAAGTTATACCCTCCAAGTAGGTGCAGATGGGGTCTATGTTTGAACGCCAGACCTTAGACTGTAAATCCCACACGGCCAACCCCGGACCGAAGATCCTCGGCCCTGAGGCCCCGACTTGGAGGGTCGTGGGGACGTTAATAACCCCTATAAGCCATATAATAACCCAAATTATCCCCATTATGAACTACTTACTAATAAGTCCCCATGACCCTCCAAGTGCCCCACATCCGAAGCCCTGAACCCCCTTCCCCCCCGTTCAAAACAGAGCCCGAATTCAGTCGTCCCACCGGATGCCAGGAGGAAACCCAAGTATTACTATTATTGCTTTGACCATCATGTTTTTTTTTGCTAAGAGCAGTCTAAGCCTTGAATCCTGAAACCTACACTCTCAATCCTCCGCCTAAGTGCAACTTTCAGATCCTCAGTCCTGCACTTGAAATCCTAGGCTTTAGGGTTTAGGGCTTAGGGCTTAGGATCTCTGCCTGAACCCAGCTCTAAAAATACGGAGCCCCATCGTCATCAATGAGTTGATGGAAGCCAGGCAACCCATTCTGCCTCATTTTGCTTGCAGTCTATCTCAGAGAGATGTATCCCCAAGGGTCCAAGTACCCAATAATCAGATACTTACCCAAAACCTGTAATTACTACAATTAGTATTACCCAATGGCAAAGTACCTAATTATTGGGTACTTGGACCCCTGAGGTATATTCCCCCAGGCAGAAGCAAACGTGCAAACCTTTAATTCTTCAACTCCGCAGGCCTTAAATCTTAGACTCGTCCAGAAAAATCGAGTATGTATATATATATATACATATACATATATTGGATTCCTAAAATGGCGAACCCTAAACCCTAAACCCTAAACCCCCCTTCCAAAGATCCCTCCCAAGCCCAAGCTGCACGCTGAGCCGGGAGGAGTGGAAGGCCCTGGAGGATGAGGCACCCTTAGTGAAACTCCGACCAGTTAGGGTTTAGGGTTTTAGGGTTTAGGGTTTTAGGGTTTTAGGGTTTAGGTAAACCCAACCCTTATCATAGTGGCCCGGAAGGAGTCATAAGATAGCGCTTGTCATAGGCTTCTATTTTTGGGGTTGGGGGACCAAAAGTCCCCTTTCAACTTTGGGTTATTTGGTTCCTATATCCTCAGTAAAAGTTACGGATTTCGGACTGAGGAATTCGGATGCCAGAAGAAAATCATCCCTGGACTCAGCTTGGTGAACATCTGTGTCAAGTTTGTAGGCCCCAATAGCGTACCGGGACCATGTAGAATGTTACTTCTTTTTGGTTTTGGACCATTATGTTACCTACCTTTCTTGGGTCCAGGTAGATGCTATGCGAATAAACCCTTGTTCTCTCAGCAATCAAGGTGGCATTGCCACAAACCGCCATGCGAGAAAATCGCGTCTCAGCATTGTAGCACGTAATGAATCGTAAGCCCCCCTACCCGCTAACACAAATCCTAGCATGAAGTTCATGATAGATGGTGACAGTTATGGTTAGTGTCATTATTAAGGTTGGGGCGTCATTCCTAGGAGGAACGGGATTTTCAGGATTCAGTCGGCAACCCCAAGCCCCGCATAAGGACCATAGGAATGGATATGATAGTTAAACGAAAATGATGATTCTTCGAAAAGCAAAGTGCATTAAGGACGCGTAGAAGTCCCAGAAGGACCCTGATCAAGAAGCTTAGCACTTGAAGCATGGACATGAAATCCATCCGGACGTGGATTTTCACACCACTGGCATTGTCGGATTCCACGACGTGTAAGGCTCTAGGATTTGCAGGATACAAGCAAGGGTTTCAATATACTATCACATACTATAATATACTATAATATACTATGATATACTATGATATAGTAGAATATACTATGATATACCATGATATAGTATAGTATAGTATAGTATACTATCTTATTGTCCAAAGGGTTTAAAGGTATTGTGCTTGACTCCGAAGGCTGCTATGGAAGAGGCACGGTTCCTTGAGGAGACCTCCAAGAAGGAGGAGGTGGCGGTTTAGGGTTTAGGGTTTAGGGAGGTGACAACGGGCCGTGAGGACTCCAAAGGTTGGGCTTACTTACCCAGAGGGTCCCATGTACCCAATAATTGGGTACTTGGGGTTTGGGTAATAGTAATTATAGTACACGTTTTGGGCAAGTACATGATTATTAGGGGTACTTGGACCCTTAGGGTTAGGCCTTTACCCCCTACTTGGAGGGTCATGGGGAGCTGATAGGTAGGTTAATAATGGGGCTAATGGGATTATTATATGGGTTATAGGGGCGATTAATCTACTTACTACGTCCCCATGACCTTCCAAGTATTCCAACACGGAATCTCGTAAAAGGGACCTGACTACATTGTGCGCTCATCGAGACTAATATATGGGATTCCATTCGACTAGTATTTCATATGGGGATACTATGTTACCCAATATTGAGTGAGATTATATCCTCCTTTTGGGGTATAGTATCTTATATAAGGAATATAATCTCACTAGGTTCAACCACCAAAAAAACACTACTCATTTGAGTTTTGGGGAGGTAGGTTTGCATTTGCATGTTATGTTGCAGTTTAGAAGATTGGCCCCCGCCTGAGGCGTCCTTTTCTCATAAAGACCACGCTGGCAAGATTTCTGGCTAGGGGAGGATCCTGCACAGTTGGGGCTGACACTTTGGTACAAGTACCCTGCGGATTGGGATTGGCGGGTATTTTGCTCGCATGAGCTTGGGGTCATTTTATATTTGTATATTGTATACATATATATATATATATCTACACAGAGAGAGAGAGAGAGAGAGGGAGGCATGGGTTTAGGGGGAGTCCTCCTCTTACGGGAGTTCAGAACCTTCGCAGCCATGGCCAAAACAGGGAATGCCCAAGTGCCAATCGAGATCGACGCAGACATCAGTAACCTGGGAAGCGAGAGTGGAGGGAATAGGGCAGAAGGCCCCAGTCCTACGAAGAAAAGGGAAAGACCTCTTTGGGGAGAACAGGATAGGCCTGAGGGAGGAGGCCTGACGTTGGCAGATCTGCAGTTAGCTCTCGCTCCGGTTCTACAGGGTTTGCAGAATCTGCAGGGAAGGATGCAGACAGTGGAAGCACAAGTGTCCCAGATGTTAGATCACACCTTGAACATGGTGAAGACCCTCCATGAGCGGCAAAAGGAACAGGAGAACGAGATCCACAAGATAGCGGGAAGTCTTAAGAATCAAGAACAGAACCAACAGTCGCAAGCGAAGGAGATGAAAGACATTGTGGCAAGATTGGAGGCGCTGGAACGGAAATGTGCTGCTGCAGTGTGGAAGTCGGGGATGATGCAAAGGGATGATGGAGGGCGCACGCCAGCACTGATCATTGGGGGGTGGCCGGACGACCAGCCAGCCGAAGACACAGTTCAGAAGGCCAGGGAGTACCTCCAGAAGCTTGGAGTCCCACTTGACCTCCAGGGACTTTTTACCCCAGGATTGCGGAGAGGATGCTCCATACTCCCAATCGAGCCGAAAGAGGGGGAAGACTCCAGGACATTGTACCAAAGGCTTGTGGGAGTGGTCTCCATTGCCAGAACAGTCGAAGAACACACCGAGGCCAGGAACGGCAAAGGCCAGCCGAAACAAGTCTGCGTGGCGATTTCGGAGCCACCTGAGCAGAGGCGTAAGTCGCGTTTTGCTGGGAAGGTGAAGCGTCTGGTTCTGAAAGCAGCAGAGACATTGGCCAAGACAGTTCAGGTGCAGGCAGAGTACCGTGCTGGAACAGTCCGGGTGGAAGGCAAACGAGTGGCGAGCGCCACGGCACCGAAGTTAGCGACTGCTCTGGCCGGAGGACATGGTTGGATCGACGTGGCCCAGATTGCGGCAACCCTGGGAACCCATGAGTCGGAGGTCAAAGCCAGGTGGCTGGAGCTGGAGCAGCAGCTCAACTGACCACAAAACGAGAAAACAGCTGGGAAGAGAAAGGTGGAACCTGGCTGCACAGTGAGAGCGGAGATAGCGCGGAAATTTAGGATGCAGTTTTTGAGGGAGAGTGCATGGGATGGGAGCTGGTTCCTCGAGGGAATAGGCAACATCAGACCTACTCAGATAAGGTGGTCAGCAGATGGCATCACATGTACGTTTCACACCATTTCGCAGGCCAATGCATGGCAAGTCCAGTGGGGTGGCATATGGGAATATGAGTTTGTTGCTGCATGTTGTTGGAGTTTCCCGGAAATATGCTAAGGAGAAGTAAGGTTGCCTGCTTGAGTGTTGAGCCACAAACTCGAAACGCTGCCAGGAGAGCAGTGTCTTGGGAAAAGGGCTGAAATCCACGTGCTCTGATGCAGGTAGCCAGCATCATTTCAAAGGAAAGAGGTAGTGGGAAATGTAAATGTGTACAAAGGAACCAAATGGAGTATATAGAGAACGGTGACTAGAAGAGTCATCCGCACAGTGAGCAGCGAGAAGCAGGGAAGAGTGATTCTTATATGGGTATCGGGGTCTGAGGAGAAGCCGCTAGGTGGGAAAAACGATCACTCTTCAACCTTACCTCGGCTCACGAACCAGCGCTAGGCTGTTTTTCCAACCGACCATTTTCCCGTGAGTGAGGTGACATGCACCGGAAGGGGAGGGGGAGAAGAAGATGGGTAAGTGGGGCGTGTATTTGACGTTCCGGTGAACATGCAAACCTCCTCGCTGCCAGCGAGCCATTGGGCTGGGGGTTCGCCCCCGCAGCATCCTTGATGCTGCATAGCCTATAGAAGAAGAAGAATAGGGAGAAGAACAAGATGGTGCGAGGCAGTCTGACTAATCTCCTGACAGATTCTCATGCCCCTAAGAAGGGGCTTTCGGAGACATTGTACACAGCATACATGTACATCTACAGATACATATACATAGTAACAGGCTTTTCAAGACACACTACGCAGCAGACGTCTATATTTACAGACATACATATATATATATATGTATGTACATACGCATACAAATGCAGATATAGTGCATTTACTTGAGACTGCGAATATTCTTGATAATGGGGCTCGGATTTTGATTTGCCAGGGCCGAGTGGAAAACATGGTACAGCCCATCAGTCAGCCATTGGCTGGATTTTTTTGAATCTAGCACCGTCAAAGAAGGAGTAGAAAGGAAAACTGGAGGGGCCGAGTAGAGAGGAATATGGGAGGGCTGTTTGCAGAACATGGGCGTTAACTTTTTTCAAATTTGGGGGTTCCATTGCAATAGAAACCCAGCAGCATGTCAAGGTCCAGATTGACTGATGCCACTCCTTAATGAAAACGATTTCAAAGAAGCATAGCTTAGTCGCACGTGGCCTGAAGAGTTTGCATTTCGGGATTTCGCAGGACACGAGTGCCCCGCCACCTGCCGACCAGGCCATGCCCTGGGCTGATTTGGAGGTTTCCCAAAATTACGGGTACCATTTTGGGGGCCCCTATAACAAGATTATAGCATTTTTTGAGGTCTATACTGGGGTCCCCTTATTTAGGGAAACTATTGTTTATGGCCTTTCAGTGCAATGTAGGGTTCCGTTTAAAGGGATTATGCAGAGATATGTAAGGGTACATGTTAGGATGTAGGGGCATGGGAAAGAAATTGGGAGTTGGTAGAAGGATTAGGGTTCGGGGCAATCTGCAATAGTGGAAAATCAAATGTAAACAAACATGGAAAACTCAGGCGAACTCGGCTTTAGAGAGGATTTTTCGGGACTGAATGTAGGGGGCCTTAGGGCAGTTCCACTAAAGTTATACAAGGATGATACATGAACAGTGTTGGTAACTATTCAGACTTTATGTGGTTCGGAGTTTGGGATTGAGGGGTGCTTGTCTGTTCGGAGTCCGTAAAAAAACAGCAGGATTCTGGAATTGAGGGTGCCTAAGGTGGATCCTTTTTCAAGTACCCATGGTGGTTTGTTCCAGAGATCGGTTCCGGTGAATAATACAGAAGCACGGGACGGTTCTTGTGGAAAGTGGTTTCGTGATACAGTAGCGTCTCAGTCCGAACTGGATCCTAAGCTCAGGGATCCAAATGGCGTAAGGTAGGTACTGTTTATAGACCGTAGGGCCCCAAGTAGGTATCATTTGTAGACGTTGTGCCCGAGAGTAAGGCCTTTAACTTTGCCAGAAGTTCGGCTTGGGCCCTGATCATCTGTACTTTCTACCATCCCCTTCTCTAAGGAAAGTTGAGATGAGCAGAGGTGCTTCAGAGTTCGAGACCTCATGTCGAGGCTTACATAGGCAATTACCAACATCGTGGTTCTAAATTCCTTGTAGAATTGTGCGCAGGGTACCTCAAGCAGACCTCGAGAGCATTGGTAGGTTTAGAGGTATTAGACCCAAAATTCAAAAGCCCGAAGCAGAAAACCTCCAACACCAAATCCCAAACCCCAAAACTCAACGATCGACCCTGAACTAATGGGTTGGGTTGGGTTCCGCTACTCACGCCTATACTACCCCTCCCAACGTTCACCCTTTTTGGAGATAAGCAGGGTTAACTGAGGCTTCTGAAGCTAGACCTCCTCCCCCCCTTATCTGACAACAGGCACCGTTAAGGGTCCAAATACCAACATGCGAAACAGCTAGAGTACACACACCCATTTCATGTGGGCCCAGGTTCGTATTGTTGTATCTATTAGCTTCGTAGGAATAATGCGGTTAACAACAACGATCATGATATCATCTAGATCTGTCTCAGAACAGTCCCCAGATGATGCCTTATAATGACCCCCGTACTAGTCCCCTTAGAAGTCCCTCACTCATCACTCAGAGTTCGCCATGTTGAAGATAGGTTTGTGTTGGGTACTGCCCCCCCCCCCAGTAACAGTTGGATAATATTTATACGGAAAGTAACACATTACGGGCCCCATATTTACAACACTCCTGTTTTGAGCTGTTTTGGTAAAGTGAAGCACCCTTCAT